CCAATTTTCAAAAAGGGTAGTCGAAGGGACATGGGGAATTACAGACCAGTTAGCCTTATGTCCATTGTAGGAAAAACAGTGGAAAGGCTCATAATACTGAGAGATCTAGTGATGCTAGATAGGGAAGGGAGGCTGACAGCCACACAACACGGTTTCTGCAAAAACAGGTCCTGCCAGACAAACCTTGTGGAATTCTATGACAAGATTTCGAGATGGCTAGATGGAGGGGATGCAGTGGATGTGGTTTACCTGGATTTCATCAAGGCCTTTGACAAAGTGCCCCATGATATCCTGATAGAGAGACTGAGGGGTTTTGAGATACACCAAAGCATTGTCTGGTGGATTAGGGCATGGTTGACTGACCGAAAGCAGAGGGTAACCATTAGTGGGGAATCATCGAGATGGCGGCCAGTGACAAGTGGGGTCCCCCAGGGCACTTGTGAAAGGGACCCTGGGGTACTGGTTGACTGCAGGCTAAACATGAGTCAGCAGTGTGATGCAGTGGTCAAGAGGGCGAACGCCACCCTTAGTTGCATAGCCAGAAGTGTGGCTTCTGGATCAAGAGAGATATTACTACCACTCTATAAGACTCTGGTGTGCCCGCAACTGGAGTATTGTGCTCAGTTTTGGGCCCCTCATTACAGAAAGGATATAGCCAGGTTAGAGTCAGTGCAGCGTAGGGCCACAAGGTTGGTGGCCGGTTTGCAGGGGATGGGGTATGAGGCGAGACTGAGGGAACTGGGACTCTTCAGCCTGCAGAAGAGGACACTCAGAGGGGATATGTTGGCAACATAAATATATGTGAGGGGATGTCACATGGAGATGGGTGGAGACCTGTTCTCCCCTGCAGAGGAAGGCAGGATGTGCTCCAACGGAGCAAGGCTCAGGGAGCCAAGGTTCCATTTAGATGCCAGGAAGCACTTCCTGACAGTTAGGATCCTGAGGGTATGGAATGGGCTTTCCCAGGAGGTGCTTGAGGCCCCATCGGTGAGGGTGTTCAAAGATAGGCTGGACATGAACATGGTGGGCACGTTGTGAGCGGAGCCGGCTGTTGCCAGAGGTCAGACTAGATGGTCCAGGAGGCTCCTTCTGACTCGCTCTGTTTCTATGTTTCTATGATAAGTGAGGAGATCAGAAGCTTTTGCTTCCATTTTTAATCAGCTGTGGTTTTGCATTTTGTCTGATTCTGGACAAACTGTGACTTGTCTTAACTATAGTTTACTGAAGCAAACCACTTCAAACCTTGGACTATAATGCTGGCTTGTTTCGATAAGCCATGGTTTAAACTATTCATAGTTTTGGGCTTTAGGTGAAATGCTCAGCTGTAGTCAACTGAAAATGGAAAGGAAAGCTTCCTATCATATCCTGACAGCCATGCTACACGCAGAGAGGGGAGGGGAGAATGTGAGAGTAATTCAGCTCATCTAGATTATTCACGTAATGAAAAACCAGAGTTTATTGTTGTGTCTGAGGAGGCCTGTTCTGTATGGGCTGGCAGGTGAAAGGATCAGGGGAGGGAGGAGTGCAAAGATCTCTGGTCACCTTTGCTCCTATTCAGCTGGAGGCTTAAAGGATCATGTCTGATGTCTGCAGAAAGAGAAGGCAACCTCTGCAACTACTTCCATCAGGCTGCACATGCACACACATACTAATTTTGGTTCCATCTATCAAAGATGTTATGCAAGCATAGATGCAACTGAAATCAATGGGACTCTGAAGGACTCCAGGCTGTACCTAAATGGAGAGGCTCTTGGGAGTCCATGAGCTCCAGACTTCTTGAGGTACAGAGAGCAAAAGGGGCGTTTAGTTGCCCCTGTGCTTAGCAGGCAGGAGGAAGCTTCTGGGTTGGCTGCTCCTGGCCTCAATGCTAGGAGCCCACTCAACAGGGAACTATTGGGGGCAGCCAATGTCAGGATGTCAGGAACAGTGGGCTAGGGAGCAGGCTGCCCACAGCTGCTCATGGAAACTGGCCTGTCTCTCTCTGGTAGGAACACATTGCCTCTCAATGTTTTATATGGGTGTGTTTAAGAAACAACAATGTGTTTCTTCAGTTGGAAATAATTTTATTCACTTGACAAACCACTGAGCACGTTCAGTGATGCAGCCAGCAACAGCATCAGCCTCAGCACAAGGCTTGTAAGGTGGTGATGAGGCTGGTAAGGTAGTAATGGAGCAGGCAGGTGGAGTTTGGGCAGTATAGGAGCAGTATAGGAGTTCGGGCAGTATAGGAGTATAAGACCTGTATATGGTGAGGTTTCATATGTATGCAGCTCTTTCCTCTTCCAGCCAGATGAGCAGCCAAGCAAACAAAAAAGCAATTTTTGCCTTAACTACTGTTTTCATTTACATCTAAACTGAGAAACTATGGTCGACATCTTCAAAATGAAAAAAAAAAAGTCATTAACCTATGTTTTGAAGTTGGTTTAATATCATGGCTTATTCCAAAGCCATTTCACATAGTTTCCTCATTAGACATAATAGGTAACTATATTCAGTGGAAGACTTCCTGGTTCATTGGCCAGATTGCTTGAAGTCAGGACTGAAGGAGCTGTATTCTTATTCCAACATTTTAAGCTGAGATGTGATTGTCCAGGCATGGTCTAAGAGTCTTCGCTGTTCTTAGATGTCCTCTTCTCCATGTATCTTTTTGTTCTTATATGATGTTTGTTTATGCAACGAGATGATAGTTCTCTTTAGGCAAATTAGGAAAAGTATGAAAGAAGGACATAATTAACATGAAGCCTTTCACAGGAAATGCAAATGCTATTCTGGTAGCATTGAGACTGGTACTGAATTAATCTCCTCTTTCATGAACAGAAAGAATGTCATCAGGGCATAACAGAAGCAAACTGGAAGGGACAATCTACCTGGAGAAAGGGGCATTTGAAAAAATACTAAAAACTAAGCAGTAATTGGGGATACTGGGTCCCTTTGTCCCCTTCTTTAGCCAAGATGTATTTTATTTGGAATTACTCTTTTATATATTCTATGGTGCATTAAAATATTTGCATCAGCACACTTAATAATGCAAGAAGGATTCCACAATATGCCATGTCTGAAAAAGCTCTGAGGATTGATCATTGCACATGATGTCCAGAAGGCTTCCAGGGGAAGATGCATGGATAGCAGATGAACTGTATGAATATCTTGTATATACAGTTTGCTCCCTTTCATAACCACAAAGCTCCATTTTACAAAATCAAGGTTGCAGATCACAAGACTGCTGGAAAGAAAATGGCACGATCCATTCATACTGTGCATTTGCAAGCAGAAAAGGCCAAGTGTTCCATATCTGCAAACTTTGTTATGTGGTTTGGCCTTGAGACAGCTGAGCGTACCAGCCATAATGGAACAGTTGTCCCCAACCTAGGGTCAGCTGTCTCCCTAGCAAAAACATTTTGTTCTAAGTTGCACAGTGACCAGACTTGGAACCAGACTTGGCCTCTCTACGGCTACAATAGCTCATGCTCCGTGGAGGTTGCCACGGAAGTGGAATATTGTTGCTTGGCTGACATGGTGAGGAAGCTTCCAACAGACAGAATGGAGCTGTGCAAATCCGCACCCACTATGCATGTATGTGAGTGGAGCGTGGCTCATTAAAAATAGGACTGGCTGCAGCACCCTCTCAAATGTTACACGGTGGCATATCCCACTTCCTTGCTCTATAATCCGTGAAAGAGGCCTGCTGCACAAAATACAGACCTGATGTTCTTGAGTCTGAGGACTAAAACAAACATTGTTTTAAAGACATAACTAGCTGCTATGGCTTCTTTTTTTCATTCTAGGGGAAACATATGGAGGTCCACCTTGATCAGGATCCTACATGGGGGTGGGGCTTTAAGGGAAGCCCCTCTCAGTTTATCACAAATCTAAATAGCATAAGTATTCTATAGAACAAATTAGGGTCCTGGCCAGATGGTGGCTCTTGAGTTGAACCTACCTGAGAGTAAAAATAAATGAAATGGGAGAAAAGATGTAGCTTGGTTAAATAACTGTATCTTTAAAATCATGCTTGGTTTGGCCTTCTTTCACATTCCACGTGTGAAAATGAAGTCTGGAAATGGCTTTTTCTTTTTTAACTTCCAAGAGTCTCTAATCATATTCCGTATGTTAAGATTTAGCACTATGCCAGATGTGCAGGAACTTGCAAAGTGCCTGGCTGCAACATTCACTCTAAATTGCAGTCTTGATTGGCAAGAAGAGACGAGAAGGAACACCTGGACAAGAAGCACACAAGTGTCCTTCCGCCATCAGAACCATTTATGTTGCCTGACCAAACCCTGATTTCTGTCTCTGCAGCTGAATCACAAGGACTTGCCCCCCAAATCAATTTCTGTGCGGAAGATGGAAAAGGGCATGCTACAGGAACACCTCCTGACCGACCTGAAGGTGCCACAGAGCTATGAAGTTCGCTTGACACCCATCACGCGGTTTGGGACTGGGGACACGGCCACCCGCATCATCCACTATATAGAACGTAAGCCTCGCTTCCCTTCCTTTCTCAATAAAGTGATCAAGGCCCTTTCTGAAGCACAGTGCACCAGACAGGAACTGACCCAAAGGCGTGTATTTCCCCAGGGAAATTTTAGTAGCTCTGATACCGTTTCTCAGAATAACTCACGAAAGTTTGAGGAGCCAAATAAGCACCACCACTGGGTTTGTTTGTTCATTTGCTCCATATTTTTGCACCCTGCTCTTCTTCCCAAGAGTACATCTAGGGTTCTTAGGTCATCTCCAACCAGGCAGAGCACAGGGCCTGACCACCTTAGCAATAGCAGTCGGTCTGTAACGTGTTATCCAACTTAACTCCTGCCATTCGATTCTTCATTCTGTTCATTATCCATGAATCCTTTGTCAATGAAAGATGCATAGACGGATACATATATAATTGCACAAACCTAAGAAAGTTTAGGCACTGCATTTTGTTTAAGAGGGTCCCAAAGTACAGAAGATTCTGTGAGCCTCGGATTCAGTTCCTAAGGAACATCAAGCTCCATTCCATCACACCCATCAGGGTAGCTAATTTTTTGGCATGAAACGTAAAAGGACCTACACTCCTCTATGCATATCTGTGCCAAATACAACTTTGGGATTGCACATAGCCTCAGATTTTCAAAGGATTCAAATCCTCCATTTGACATGGGCTTTTATCCGATAGGAAGCCAAATCATAGATTTAATCCTCTCCCCAAATCCTATTTCAGAAAGAATTTAATTTTAGAAGATGGTATCAGCTGCCACTGTTTCCCTCTTCCCAGCCATTGGCACACCTTCTGCTGAGTTTTCTCAGGGATAAACAACATGATACATGAAATGCATAATATGTGGCCAAGCCTAACATTTTTAAAAAATTAAAAAGAGGGCCCCTTTTAAAGCAGGACCCTGTTCCCAGTTTGGAGCACCATGCATGGGTAGCCTGTTAAAATTCCTCACCCAGGTGTCCCCCCAACACACATTTCATGCCTGTTTTTTCTTTCATCAAAGCAAGAAAAAACTTGGCACTAGTGGAGTTTCCATAAAGTTCCATGAATGAATAAGATGAGCATATTAAAACTACAACCTTCATTCTTGCAGGAAAAAAAATATTTTAGCCAGTCTCTGTTTGTACCAGTTTAAGAACCTGGACAACTGCTGTCTACTCTTGATCTCATATTCCAGTCCAGGAAGGTAGGGTACTGAGGGATGTGAGCAGGAATAATAAAATATCTTTGGGAAAGTACAGACTTTTTGCTCCTGTTGTGACTTCATGTGCAATCATACAAATCTAACAATAATCTTATAAATTCTGTTTCTGTTTCCTTTCCTAGCAATCAGCTATCCCAACCCAGTAGGTAAGTGCTAATAAGCTCCCATGTTTATCTACTTCTTTGGATACTGTCTCCTAGACACCACAGGGGCGCTTTGCTCAGAGCAAAGCACTGTGGGTTCAGGAAATGCCACCAAGGTGACCAGGTGCTCTCCTGGGTCACCTCACCCTCATGCCCACCTCAGAGTGAGGCAGTGGTGCACCAGAGAGTGCAAAACGTTCAAAGCATTTGTCATAGCAACAAAGCAGTGGTGGCTACACACGGGGGCTGGTTGGAGGGCGGGCTGCAGCAGCTAGGCAGAAGCAGGGACAGCAGATGGGAAAATGTGACCTGCCTTCCCTCCTGAGCGGTCGCCTGAGTCACATGGCCTTTGTGCTTCTGGGTAGGGCTGGCCGCAGTTTCATTATCAACAGTTAATATTTATTAAGTTTCTAGTAGGCACTCGGCTGCTCTGAAATCAAGCAGACTGATTTCTTTCTTGCAGCTTCTCAGTCTAAATATTGTGAAGCATAAAAAGCGAGGGGAGCCGGAGTGAAAGATTAAATAGATTTAAGAGAGAGTACAGGTATGTGTGTATAGCACGCACGCACACACACTTTCACTTCAGCCCCCTCTCTTTTTGCCTCCTGTGCGCACTGACCTACACCACATTTATTAAAGCTGCCAATAGTCAAGGCCAAGTTCCACATCAGGTTCAAAAGATTTGGCCCCAGAACTAAATGTTAGAGTCTGACTCTATTCACAGTGTTCTCATTGAGCTCTGTTGAACTCTTATTATCTTCAAAATGCCAGATCCCAGGTGTTTAAAATGAACAGGATGATTCTAAGAGAAAAGGGTTATTTGCTTCAGTTTCAGAAAGCAAATGGTGAGCTCACCCATAAAATAATACTCTGTAGATAAAGTTATTGCTTCTTTATTAGAAGTGTAGCAACCATAGTTGAATAAAAAGTTGGGAACATGGAGCAGCTTCTGCTTTGGAGCCACCTATTTACTTGGCACTGGTTTTGATTTTTGTAATCCGTGAAAAGGCATTGAATGAATGTGTGTGTGTGTGTGTACAGTGCATGGGGCCGTGATGGGTCGGACATGACTTTGTGACTAAACAAAACACAATACATGCATTATGTTTCAGAACCCTGTCTACTTTCGGATGCTCTAAAATCCTCCTCAGCCTACCTGTCCATTAACAATTATCCTAGAAACACAAGGCAATTAGACAGATGAGGTTGCTTAGATGACCCTGATGTTCTGTGGGTCAACTTGAGTTAGACACTTCACAAATCAACCAACTAAAACCTACATTATTCAAGTCCATATTAAGCTTACTTTTAAGTAGGACATTTACAACAAACCCAGTTCATCCTGTCTTCTAAGGCCTCAATTCTATGCATGACAGAAAAAAGTCCTACAACTGCCAGACATTTTTTCTGCCTAAACATTTATGGAACTGAGTTCTTAGAAGAAAAAAAGAGTTGCCAGGTTGCCCTGTTCTGTCTAATCTGCCTGGTTAATCTCACCAAGCTCTGAGAAGGAGGTTCTTCTCATCCAGCCCTGCCAGCTGAGGTCCCCTGAAGTGGAAATTCCGAGACGTGAACCTGCACACTTGTGCTATACCAAAAGCCACACTCCCTGCCAAAGGCAAGCGTGTTCCCCCCCCACCATTTCCCAACTGTCATGATTTGAAGGCTGCAGCATTTCTTTTTGCCCTAGTCTGTTGACTCTGCCATTGAAACCCCGTGAGGGCATGGCAAAGAAGTGGCCAGCGTCACTCTCTCAGCACCAAGAGCGCATTCATTTCAAGCACAGCTGGAAAGAGGGTGTGCCCGCAGTCTTTCCTCCCACTCTTCGCATTTGCATTCATTTCTGTGTTACTTTCTCTAAGCATATAAGACTTGAAAGCATATACCTAAACTATTTTTCATTATGAGGAACAGTTTGTGCTATTGTATAAAATCATCTTTTAGAAAGAAAAGAGAAACAGCCTCCCTCTTCCTAATTGTCTCGGCAAAGGCCCATCTACTCAGACATTTTAGCTTCTCTACGTTTGCAAAGCAGACAGGATGTTTGCCAAACATGAAATGCCCTTCAGAGTGAGCCATGCATGTCTTTGTTCTGTGATGAGTTTGGATAGCAGTGAATCTTCCATCCAAACACTAGGCCTGCCCAGGGCAGCTTGCCCTGGGCCCTCCACCTTCACCACAGGCACAGTATAACATTTTATATGTTTCTTGTATTGACTTGCATTCTTGGGAACTGCCATTGGGTGGGGTGATCATGATAACAGCTTCCAGAAACACACATGATCTGGAACAATAAACATGGTCATGCATCAGTCTGGCTATCTGTCCATATTTTGAGGGCTCTCCTCCGGCACTTGAAATTTGGCACACAGATTAAGAGAACCCTAAAAGTGTGCCCAATAAAGCTAGAAGGTTATTGGGCTTTGTAGAATGCATCCGTTCTTCTTAAATAATTGTGGCCATGTATTTGAAACCTGCAGTGCCATCTTCAGGAGCTAGGTGGCAATCTTTCCTAACCAGCACATACTTTTGAAATCAATATACAATTTACACAATCTTATAATCTTGTACAACTACCCCCTCCCCACTGCTGTGGGGCTGCCCCACTTCAGGGGAATGAAGTAGACAGACCCTGCTCCCTCAGTGGGCTAAAGTGGGGCATTGTGGCGGGAGCCAGACCTAGGAGTGTTGGTAGCCATGACTTCACTCAGATAGGGCAGGCACAGTACGCCCAACGTTAACACCTGCATAGCTTTGTTTGAAGGCTCCACTGCATCAAACTGTTTTAATCATGTGAAGCCCTGTTCCTTTTGTTAATAATACATAAATAAATGTGCTTTTAGATCATGCTCAGGGATATCCCAAAGTCCCTCTTACTGTTTCTGTTTGGTTTCTCTTCTGAAGAGCAGCTCAGTTTTATTGCTTTTTATTGGCTGCCATCTCAACACTGTCAGTGGAGTTCAAAATGTCTACAGACAAAAATCAGGGTTCCCAAGAATTTCCCGGTCCCAGTTGATAGCCCATGACACTAACCCTAGCCCAGGACTGCTCAACTAGCCATACACAATCACCCTTGTTATCATTCTGCTGGATGGGTCTAGTGGTGAGCAGGAGCCAGATGGTAGGATCCAGCCCCCATTTGAGGGTGCAGGTTGCCAGGTGGCTGCTCGTGCGGGATCCTGTGGGCACTTGTGTGGAACAGAGCACTGGGCGAGGTAGACCCTTGGTCTGATCCAGCAGGCCTCTTCTTACGCTCCTGTTTTGAAGGGCTCCTTTCTATTGTTTTTATTTAAAATGTGAAATGTCACCACAACACCCATGATTAGGAATGGGGAAATCAGTGAGCAAGAGCCAAACTCAGTGAGTTCTTCCTCAAAGCACAGTCTGCTTCACGCCCATGCCTGATTGCCAGTTTTCCTGCTTCTATAGCCAAATGTATAGTTTCATTCCATTAACTAAAACATGAAAATCTGCATTTCTCAAAATTATGTATGTTTCTAATATATACATTTTGCAAGACTTTAACAAGCTCAGGAATGTGCAGCTTTTGCTTGCAAGATATGTTCATGTTCAGGTTGCAAAGCAGGGTGTGTTCTGGTCTCAGATGAATGCAAAATTCTCACATATGCCTAGCCATGAAGAACATAAATTAATTTTATGGCCAAGTTCTGGAAGTCAGCTTGCATCTTCCCCTTTAGAACTCAGCTGTGGGTAGAACTTCTGAATTCTTTCTGCCTCCTTCTGCACTAAAATCTGCAACTGCTCTTCGTGGAGAATTGGGGGAGGGGGTGACCGAAAAGACTGGGGGAGACATCTCACATGGTTGCCCAGGTAAATCTCATTTTAGATTTTGAAAGATGTCATGACTAAATCTCTAAAACAGCCTGTTCCAGGGACACATGATGTTGATTAATTTACAGACTCGGAGAATTACTTAATATAATAATTTCTTCATCCATTTTTTCTTTGGCTAATAAGACAGTCATGCTTAATGTCATTAGGGCTTGCATGCTTCAGGGTTGTACAACATCATCTGGCCAAAGAGACTGAGAAGGAGAAAAGGCTAGTGCTTCATCTTGAGGCACCTTGACAGTAAACAGCAACAAGCCTGACCATAGCAAAACTAAATCTAATTCTGAAAAATTATTTTACTCCATTCCTGGTTTGACCGGCTCCATGATTATTTGTGGTCATTAGAGTTCCCAACTGAATTTTCCCCTTTCTTTTTTGCTTGTAAATAGGTTTAGAATGCACTACTAATGCTCTGATCAAATTCCAGTTCTGTTGATTACATTCCACCTCCTTAAATCCCCCTTTCTGTTTGTTTCTGAAACTTTTGGAAACTTGTTCCCATGCATTTTTCAGTTGATGCTGTGTTGTGGCCCAGAAGGGCCAAGTGAAGGGATTCTTGCAGTAGGCCTACGAATTCTAGTTGCTGAAACCCATGAGTGGGAGGGTAGTCTTGCAATCATGCGCTATCTGTGGGTTTCCCATAGGTATCTGGCTGACCACCTTAAGAACAGAGTGCTGAGCCAAGTACTGACCTTTGGTCTAATCTAGTTTGGCTCTTCTTACTTGCCAGATTCAAAAGACCATTTGTGGAAAGCTATGATACTAGAAATATAAAATAAGCCTCCCTTCCACAGTGCAAACCAGGATGAAAACGTGGAGTGCACAGATGCTCTGTCCAAAGATATGGCCATTGCTGGGATGCATCCCCTGGCCAACCACCTGACTATGGGAGTTGCCAGCTTTGGAAGCACTAATAAACTGATGGGTAGGACTAGCTGGGCCAGGCCTAAATTCTTCCTCCCCAAATGAGTAAAATGGGGAAGTGAATTAGCCCTGAGGCATATTGGTAGCTTCATGTGGACTGGACTAGCCAGGCCGTTAGTCCAGTGCTGTGTCTCCACTCTCTGGTCCAGCATGGAGAAAACTGGTTTGTCCCTGCTGAGCTTAATGCATGCATGAGGGGGTGAATGCTGCCATCATACAGTGACAGTCTCTTATCTTGATAATTACTACATGACCTCAGAATTACACTGCACCTCACTGCTGCAGCTTTTCGTTTCCTTTTGGATACAGCTTTTAATTACAACTTTGATATTTAATTTGTTTGGGCAATAAACTGAAATCTGTAGAACTGCTTTGGGAGATGTGATAAACCGTGCCTTGCTGCAGGGTGTAGGGTGCTCCCGGAGGGGCTTTGCACTGAATGACCTTCAAAATGTTCTACCTTCTGATGGTCTAGTTTCTTTTGTAAATTGGGACTTTGGTTAGAGCCACAAAACCCTCTCATCAGCCTCCAGGTGCAGCTGGAAAGTAGATGGTGTTAGAATTACCAAGCTGGGTCCAGCAGCCTTTAATGCCTGCAGCAGGACTCTTTGTGTGTCTTGATCAACACCGCAAGAACTGGAGCTCAGCCATCTCATTCACATAACTCCTTGGAAGAGCTGCTAAGCAGCTGCCGCGTCGCCTCAGTTCCTGCCTGTCGATCTGGTCACAAAGCAGATCAAATAAACCGGGGAGGCTGTTCTTGAGATTCCCGGAGCCTCAGATCTCCTGTGTGCATGTCCCTTTCCTCTTCCAGCTCCAGATGCTGGGCAGTCCCAGTGCTTGCATTACACACAGCAGCTAATTTGGATTAGGATGCTAATTAGAAATGAATGGACCGCGTAGAGAGCACTTAGTCAGGGTTAATTAGCAGTTAAGTGGACAGCCAAGCTCCCTTTGGCTGCTGCATTCATTTTCAGGCGCTCTCTAGCCAGCTGAGCCTCCACAGGGCCGCCATGCTCCAGCATTTGGTAGAAGCTTACCTGCAGCAGCACTTCAGGCCTGGCCACTGGCTGCTCTGAACAGTTCCCTTAAAGTGCCGCCCGCAGCATCCTCTGGCAAGCCCAGACAGGCCTCTGCAAACGGCAGCCATCGAGATTAAAACCTGGCCGGTTTCTCACTGTAATGACTGTAATGTTATCATGTGCCCTTCACCGCGCTAAGGCTGGAAGTGAATAAGGCCAAATGCAGACTGAGAAAGCAAGGCCAAACCAAGGCAAGCAGCAATTCTGTATTTCAAAAACGGCTTCTCCTTGGATCTTAAGCTGATCCAAGGAAAATCTGTAGGCACATGGACTCAGCCTGAGGGCTTTCCTCTTTGTTTCGGTGTGGGGCCCACTCTTTTGGCACGCTTCAAGTTGAGTCCTGCACTTAACTTAGCAGGTCCTCCTGCTTGGAGGGCCCAACCCAGACTTGGTTGAGTTTGATGTGGCCTACCAGCCTGTGGTTCTGCAATCCTGTTTTATATCACAGTGAGCATTCACAGAATCCTTATTGGAGTAATTAACTGAGCCAAGCAGTAAACAGTGGCTATCTAAAGCCATTCTTTGTGTGTCTTTTCCAAGACTTTCCCTTACATTTAAGGCTGTCCACTTCTCTTTTTCATCATGGAGAGCCAATGGTGTGATGGTTAGTGTTGAATTGAGGAGCCAAGAGATTTGGGTTCTAGTCCCCACTTGGCCATGAAGCTCCCAGGGTGACTTTGGACCAGTCACTCAGTCTAGCCTATCTCAAAGGCTTGTCGTGATGACAAAATGAAGCTATGTTAGCTGTCTTGGATCCTCACAAGAGGAAGAGTGTTGGGATGTAAATGCAATGTCATAATAATCATATCTCATTATTTGCTTCATCTACTTCTTACAAGTTCTACTGTTTCCCCTCATATTTTTTCATACTTACATATAATGTGGGACCTTGACGTAATGGTTGAAGTATAGGAGGAAATGCAATACAAAACACTGACTCATAACTTATTTTTATTTAATGGTTTTTAAGCATTCCTTTTGAAAATAATTATCATCCCAAAGCAGTTTACAAATGGCAAAACAGTAGAATAAAATTACCAGGTTTTAGGCCATAAAAGAACAAAATAGCACTATTAAAATAAGGCAATAAATAAGAAAAATAGTCAAGAGGGGAGGTAACATTTAAAAAAATTCTCTCTTCAGGACTCTGATGTGTGTTCTTTTGCTACATGACCTGACTTTATCAAAGATTTTTGGCTGCTTGTCCCGGAATTGTTCCCTTTTATGTTATTCAGCCCTCCTGAATTTCCTTGCACCACTTCATTCATTTCCTAGTTCATCAACAGCAAATAGTGATGGGTGAAGATTCACAGAAGTATTGGGAAACTCCAAAAATTGGAGAACTAGGATCTTCCATGCATGCACATGGCTTCCCACAACGTGATGCACTGAAAAGCCAGAATATACATGTATACAGAAGCACATTTCAAGCACAATCCAATGCCCCCACATCATCTGTGAGGCCATAGGATTCTTCAGAATGCCTTTCCCTGCCCCCAGAGCCACAATTGGACCTTAGAAGGGAAAGTGGAGGAGGCTGGGGCCAAGAGCTAACACCAATTCACAGAATCAGAATAGTGGAGTTGGGGCCAAGGAGGCCATCAAATCCAACCCCCTGCTCAGTGCAGGACTCCAAATTAAAGCATCTTTTCTTGATGGCTGTACAGATGGCTGTGTGGGAGAACCCATGATCTCCCCAGGTAACTGGCTCCACTGTTGTACTGCTCTAACAATCAGGAACACCATCCTGATGTTTAGCTGGAACCTGAATTGGTGTAACTTGAGCCTATCATTCCATGTCCTGCACTCTGGGATAACTGAGAAGAGATCCTGGCCTTCCTCTTTGGGGCAGCCTTGCAAGTACTTGAATTGGGCTGTCATATCCCTCCTCAGGCTTATCATGGCCCCAAAGATAAATCTAACCCTCTGAAAACAGTCATCTAAAGAAACTGCAGGGAATGACAGCAGCGACTGCCACTGATGCACCGCATGCCTTGCCTTGGATGCTCATAAGCCTCTGAGTTTGGAAGCTTGCAGCAGGTTCGCTCCCTTTGGTATCTTATTACACCAGTGTATATACTGCTTTCCACAGAGTTATCAAAGTGGTGAACATGCAGTGCCATTACCATGAAAAAAACAATAAAACAATAAATAACTGAAAAGTAATAAAACATTCTAATAAGCAATAAAACCACAAGCTCTGCTCAGTGCTCCAGACTAGAGCTGGCTGGGTCACACTTCTGGGAAGAGATGGATCTTAAGAAGATGCCAGTGCATAGGAACCGTGGGGGCCTTGCGTAATCATTATCAAAACTGTCTTCCAGACAGCACGAAATGCTAGGCTGCAAGTGCTCTTGAGGCAAGCCACCAGCACATGTGGCTCCATTGGAAGGGCCCCCTCTGATCACAATGATCAGGGGGACATAAGGGGTGATGCAGCCCCTAAGGGAGCCTGCTTAAAAGCCTTTAGGACTTCACATGAGTAGGCATCTCCACTGCCTTGGGCTGCATCTTCTGCAAGAACCAATAGTGTTGGAGAGCCAGGGATCAGAGAACACATATGCTCACTCAGTTTTCCATCTTACTGCTGTTCGGACTTGCTAAGTACATTCATAGCTTTAGTGCTGAATAACCAGAGATTGAAAAGCCTATGCATCCATTTAGGCTCCATTTCTCTAGCTCTTGAAACAGTGAATATATGTACATATAGTTTATGACATCAACTTTGTCATAGGTGCTCTTGTCCATGACAAGCAACAGAGATTTTTAGGACTTCAGTAGTCATCTGGGAAAATGTTTAAAAAGCATTTCAAAAACAAATCTACATGTTGTTTGCTTTAATTGGATGCATCGATCATACCAATCTGAAAGTGTCTGATCAGCACATCTGTACACAGGCAGAGAGTTTCTTGTTGGTATATGGATTTTACTCTCCCACATTTATTCATTGCTACAGAAGAAAGATAAGATTATTCTTTTAGTTTCTGTGCCTTTTCCTGGTTACTATCTTGTACAGGAAATGTTCTTTGTCCTCAAGAATTGGCAATAGTCTCATTGCAGAAATATAAATATTTTGAGGCAGTTCTTTTTACCTCCTCAACAAGGACACTTTCGGAGAAGCTACTAATTAGCCTAATTCTGCCTGAAGGTAACACTTGCCACTTTGAAGATGAGAAGATCTGTGGTTATACACAAGATACGTCAGACAACTTTGACTGGACTCGTCAGAGCAGCCTAACCCATGATCCCAAGCGCTCTGCCAATACAGGCCCAACTATGGATTTCAGTGGGACACCAGAAGGTACGTAAGCTTCCAGTCTTCTTTGTCTCAGCTTTACGAAATTACGTACCCTGCACTTGCCTAATCCTGATTTCTTCTCAATTAGACTTTTAGCAAGGTGGGGGTGGAGGGCAGGAGAGTTTGGGATCCGTTTGTCAGCACCCTAAACTGACTTAGAAGGGAGTGTTAGCCATCAGCCTCATCTGCATGCGCATCTGCTTTCTTTTTATTTACTTCCTCCAAATCTATCACCTTGAGATTTCTATCTTCCAACTTCCTCACGTCTTACTTCTCCTGCCTCTCACGCCCATGCGAGCAGCTGTAATAGCGCACCATCTGTTGGGTCCTAACCCCCTGCTGCTCAGTCTTTTTTCCTCCCCCCATGCATCCCTCCCCCCCCCCCCCGCATGCTCCATACCCTTAAATTCTCATGTAGCGGGTGCCTCTACACGAGAAGGAGTGCTCCAAGGGTTTGCAGATGATCGAGAGAATAGTTGGCTCTGGATTTTGCAAAGGCCTCTCCAGGACCAATTTAGCTTTCATTATCATACTCCACCTTGGGACAGGGGGATAAAATTGATTGGCCACACACACACACACACACACACACACACAGCTGCTCTCTATTGGGCATGGGGAACAGGCGGTTGATTTGCATGTTTCTTATTCACATTAAATACCCAATTAAAACTCCCACAGCTTTGTTTAGGGGAATCAGGAGAGCATTAGTCCTTGTTACTGGCTAATTGCCTGCTGCCAAATGTCCTTGTTTCAGTGACGCTTACTTTGAAGTCACAGAAGAGAGAAGCAAGTGTTGCTGTAGGGGAGGGATCCTGCCGAAGCGCACAGAAATGACCAGAAATGGCTTTTGATGCAGCAATCCACGGAATTCTGCAGTCCCCTGTGCCATGGTTCACTACAGCCTTTGAGAAGAGACTATTATACTGTTCCAAATAGCATGACCCTTTTTATTTTTTTTGTGGGGGGGGGGCTATTCAACCTTATTTTGTCATTTCTCTTGTTCCATAAAGACGCCACGTGGGTTGCTGTAGGCAATCTAGTACTGGATGCCAATGTAAAGTAATGGAAGGAAACATGCTAGGGGCAACCCCAAGCAGCAGAGAGGGCTGAAGGAACCACAGCAGTGAGAAGATGGGAGGCTCAAGCCAACTGGAAGAGCTCCCTGAGCCTCCTGTCATCGGTTCCTACTGGGAGCATGTCAGGTCTTTCCAGCTCTGAAGGGAGAACAAGAACCAAGAAGAGGCATGCTGGGTCCGCCCAAAGATGTACCTTGTCCAGCATGCTTTTCCCTGCTTAGGGAACCAGACACCTGTGCAGCAGCACCTGCCTCCTTGCATTCCCTAGCAACGAGGGTTCAGGGGCACTGTTCACAGCACTATATTCTCCTGTAGCTGAACCCTGGAGGAGAAGAGGGCTTGCTGCACTTAGGGGAGCTTTTCTGCAGCTGCTAGTTCTTTCATGGCAAAACGCTTGGTCCCAAGGAGTGTCAGGTTCCTCCAGAACTCAATTTGAAAACTACAAAAGTCAGGGAGAAGCAGAAAGTGGAGAGTGGAGCAAAGCAGAGGGTTGGTGAGGTTGTCCATGGCCCAAGTTCTGTGAGTTTCAGAAGCAAGAATGCAGCCAAGGGCACACAGCTCCAGCTTAGCTCCCCAGACTCACCAGTTCTGCAGCTTATATTTCCCCACCATGGTGTCACTGAGGGAGATGTAACTGTGATTTTCCTTACCCTTGTTCCTTTGCTCTTCAGGCAACTACATGTTCATCGAAGCCTCTGCACCACGGGTGAAGGATGACAAAGCTAGGTTAATCAGTCCAATGTACAACATGACTGCCCGATTCTGCATCTCCTTCTATTATCACATGTATGGGAAGCACATTGGTGAGTGAACTTGAGCAAGGGCTGCTGGCAATGATGGGAGAAGGACCGAGGAACTGCTTATCTACTGCATATTACTGAGAAAAAAAATTCCCTCCAGTGTAATATATGCCAATTCTGCTGGTAATTGCCAGTGTGAGACTGCTTTCTAGCACTGAAAGTTTATTTGGGCAAATAACATTTTTGATTTGCTAGTTGAAAAGAGTTGAATCCTGAGGTGGAATGCCTCCATTCTTCTAAGATATATCCTCATGGCTACTCTGGGCACCTGTGTTAGTTTTACACTCTACTGCACAACTGAGATTGCAGAAGATGCCCTAGGGCAGGGGCAAATGCCCTCCAGAATATTCAGACTACAACTCTTGTAAGCCCTAAGTAGCATGGCCAAACACTAAGGATCTTGGGAGTTGTAGTCAAACATATCTGGAGGACATTATGTTGCCTACCCATCCCCTAAAGGAAGGCAGGTAAAAGTTTCCCTGTAATATTGGATATCGAACATGGGCAGTCAGCTGAATATGCCACTTTTAATTTGAGCATCCTCCTCTATATATCTTTATTCAGAGAGAGAGAGAGAGAGAGATGCCTGAACATCTGTATCCATCTGTTTATCTCTCTGTCCATCTGTTCATATACCAGATGTCCCCATCCTAATGTCCTCTAGATATTTTGGACTACAAGTTCCAGAGTTCCAAATCATTGGCTACACTGGCTGTGTCAGCTGGGAGTTCAAGGCCAAAATATCTGGAACACATCAGGTTGGAGAAACCTGTTCCATACCATGTGTGCTAGAAACTTGATTTTGATCTGGCATTTTTAGGTGAAAGCTCAAATTGCTAATAAGTGCAGCTGTCAGTTTCTGTGCTGGATACATGGTAGGGACATAACTAATTTCTGTTATCTTCTGATCTCCATTGCTATGATACAGGGTTGTTTGTTTTGTTTTGGGAATCCTCTTACATCTGTGCCTCTTTTATTGGGACATTACAATATGAATGGATGGGAATGATTTTATGAGGGTATCTGTGGGGTCTGGTTTGAAGAGAGCGTAGAGCCAATGTTTAACTAGAGGCTGCAGAAGCACCAGTAGGTGCTCTCCAGTTGCTATTTTGATTTAAAGAGGCAAAACAAGACAGAACAAGATGGCAAAAAGAATGTGGAAAAATGGATTTGTTTTATGGGGCAAAGTCATTTCAAAGGACATTTTTTCTCTCTCTCTTGCTTCACCTCCTGTCTGCAACTGCCAAGATGAAGCTGTAGTATTCCGTGAATGCCACAGAAGTGCCTAATGAGTTTCCACATTCAGTCAAGGAGCAATTGCTAATTTGTCACCTCTTGATTATAATTTCATTAATTTGAATAATAAATGCACTCTTTCTAAAGCTCGCTAAGTTATTAATCACCTGCTGGACTGGAGCCTGACTGCAAAATCAGAGCCCAGTCAGGAGTACGTCTGCCTGTTAGTAAACAGGGCTGGTAAACAGAGTTAATTAACATCTTCCTCTATCTGAGCACATCAGATTGTATCAGACTAGTAGTGGCTTCCTTCTGCTTCTTTTCCCACAGGGAGAAAGAGGAAAAAGGTCCTTGCTTCAGGCTGTACTGAAGAATAGTTCAGCCTTTCCCAAACTGGTGCCCACCAGATTAGTTGGACTGTGACTTCCATAATCCCCAGCCAGTCCCACGTATCTGGGGAGCCCCAGACTGGGGGAAGCTGTTCTAAAGAAATAATAATTTCAGTTCAAGATATGTTTCAGCAACCAGTGTCTGTCTGTAAGGTCAATAAGGCAATTGTTCTCACGATTGAACCCTTTGATTAGTTCTACAAAGTCAATGACTGGGTTTGCACAACTTGACAATGCACACTGGGCTCTTGCATCATGGTGTGTTTGTGTGTCGTGTGAATCCAGACCATTGCTGTCAAGGTAGCTTATTTTTGGCTTTTAAGCAACCCTAAAACCAATGTTCAATAGTGGGATGCCATGTCATTTGAACCCAGACAACTCAACCCTTGATAGGTCAAATCCCTTTGCTAGAGAACCGCTTAGCAAGAATAACAAAAATGCCTTGCTGGTCTTGCTAAGTGGCCACCTGGTCACCACTCCCAGAATGCCAGGAAGCTTAGAAAAAAGGCAAGCAAGGGCAGCCATGATAGAAGCATTCAAAGTGGGGCACGGCCTGTAGATCAAGTGGAGAAGGAAGCATTTTTCTCCCTCTCCCATAATGCTAGAACCTGGGTTGGTGGGAAGTCCTCTTTCACAGAGTGGAGAGCTAGTCAGTGAATTCACTGCTGCAAGAAGTACTGATGGCCACCAGCTGGGATGGCTTTAAAGAGGGTTAGACAAATTCACGAAGGAGAAGGCTATCCGTGGCTACTAGTTCCAATGGCAGTGTGCTGCTCCTCCTCCTATGTACACCCGCTGCTGGGGAAGTTGGGCAGGGGGGAGCTCTTCAATTCATACCCTGCTTGAGGGATCCTGTGGGCACCTGGTTTGTCTCGGCGTGAACAGAATGCTGTACTGGAAAGACCACTGGTCTGTCTGGCATGGGCTTCTTATGTTCCTAAGTCTTCCATCAGTGCTACACTTGCAAGCAGTTTTTGGCTTGAACTGGCTTTTTTTTCACCTAACAAAATGTGTTTTGCTTTGTTTTTGAGATTGCAAAAGCCATGTTTCAAGCTGGCGGCAAAAAATCCCAATTTCAGGTTATCTATCCATATATATATATATAGAGAGAGAGAGAGAGCGAGTATTTCTAGGCTGTCCATCACTTCCGTCTCTGGATGGCTTACAGTAAAATCTATAAAAACAGTATATAAATCCAAATAGCAATAAATTAAATGTTCCACGACTGACATAAATTAATTATTAAAATAAATTAACTGAATTAAAATAATTATAATACTTAAAATCTATTGGTCTTAAAATATTGGTTAAATAAAAAGGTCTTGACCTGGTGCCGAAAAGCATATAATGATGGCGCCAGGCAGACCTCTCTAGGGAACACGTTCCATAGAAGTCCCTCCAAAGTCCACCTGTGACACCTTGGAGGGACTGCCTGGGAAGGGCTATTTTAAAAAAAATCTAATTTTTCACAAATACGTCTGAAAAAAACTAACATCATTGTTACCCATGCAGGACTGCAGGCAAAAAGTAGATTTAACAATCTCATAAAGGAAAAAAGTGGGGGGGGGGGACCACAGCAAGCAACCAAGAGATGACAACGGTGGCATGGAGCGAGGGGAACCTTGGTGTTCCTGTGGCACCCCTTGCAATACCCAGTCACCTGTTGGGTATTTCATGCATGCCAGAGCAATCAACCAGCATTGTGGGACTTGTGCCACAGGCTGGGTTGTCATGTTGTGTACAGGCGACTGGCATGGACACAAAGGCCTTCCCTTCATTCTGTCCAGTCTCAGAGATGTCAGGAGATGTTGCTGGTCTCAGCTAACATTATAATATAATGACTATCGCATGGACACCTCTTATGTTTGTCTGATATAGACAGCTGCAGGACTACATATTCTGTGTGACTATCATTGTTACTTTATCGCATGTGTTTCGGCAACCATCCTCCAAACTTTGGAAAGGGTTTTTATTTTGTCGTCTGTTTGTAGTTCTTGTACTGGAAAAGACTGGCAAGTATGAAACGGAGTGGGAAAGAGAGCTCCTTCTCTGTTGCTTAGCAGGGTTAGAATGTCTCCAGCACAGGGAATAGTAGATGTTGAAAGTCTAATGACATGCATCGTGCTTGGGGAAGATTGAGACTGGCAGTATATATAACTTTGGCCTCAGCTACTAAGAAACCCAGTGACTGAATCTTCTGACTACTCAGAATGCACCTGTTCTTCTATGCCTTCACCATCTTCCAGACTCCTTCAGAGCATGTCTTGTTTCTCCACCAAATTTGCAGACAGATGTTTCCATCTTCTGCTTCTGTCGAGTACTATTGGGGGTCTGTTAAATTTGTGTAGGTGACTGCATTGTTTTGCTTTAATGTTGTGCTGAGATTTCCCAGGAGGTGTATGAAGGGAAAAGTGAAGACATTTTGAATTAATTTAAAAATTTGACACGATATACAGTTGGGGGGGGGGTGTGCAGAATAGATTCTATTTTCCTTTTTAAAAAATCCTCTATGCAGCCCCAAAATCTGAATTTATCTCCTCCCCCCACCCTTTCTCTTTTGGTACAGCATCTATCACTTCTGCTCATAATTATTGTTCCTTCTATTTAATTTTTGAGGGCACCTGGACCAAATCTGTTTCCAATAATAAGTCAAGATGCCCCATGAACTGAGTGACGTAAGAGGAGCGTGTACTAGCTTGCCTTGATCGCTTCTCAGCTTGCCTCTTGTTCGACAGTTGCCTGAGGTGATAAGTGAAAATGATTTGTGATCACAGTTCCACATGCTTAAATAATGGTTTCGGTTGCCATGATATAAACATAGTTCGCATTAATTCTTGTTATAAAGTCACTAGAGGATATTATGCTGCCTTCTCTCAGGCCAGTAAGCATCATACCATGGCTAAGTGTGGCAGGGGGCCTAGTTCCAGACCTGCCCTCCTCATCTTCCCTCAGGCATCTGACTGACCCATTATCAAAGGTCCTTTCTTTGCGTTGCTTCCCTGGGCTGTCTCAGACCCCATTGAACAGATAGGTACCCACTGGGAAAAACCAGCATAACTGTTTCTTCTTATTGAGGAAATATTAACCAGACATCCTGACCACTAGCAAATGCAAGATAACCAACGTTTCCTTGTCTCTCCAGGACAGTATTTCTACTGCAGTAGTAAATAGCTGGAGATGGCTGAACAGATGCTCTCAAAATGTGCTTTGTCCTCCCAAAATGTTTATGGTAGATGGTTCATCCTACCATGCCAGTAACTCCATGCCACCAATCCTTCCACCACCCAAATGCCCATGTTCCTGCATGACACATGGACAAGTCTGATAGCTTCTTTCAATGGTGGGTTCACATGTGATTTGGCTGCAGCAAAGGGAAAG